CCCCGCCGGGCGCGCACCTCCCGCGGCCGCGAGGTGCCGGGGCCGGGCCGGGCCGGGCCCGCGTCGCTTCCCCGGCCGCCCGCACGGCTCCGCAGGCCGCGGCGAGAGGCGGCGGGCGGGAGCGCGGCCCAGGCCTCCCCAGCCTCTGCGCGGCCGCAGAGAGCGATGCCGCTCGGTGCTCCGCTCCCCTTTGTGCGCGGGGCCGCGTGCAGCCGCGCCCGCCCGGCCTCCCTCCCCTCGCCTCGCCGCGGGCCCGCGACGCGGGGCAGGCGGGCGGTCGGCGCTGGCCCGGCCCGTCCGGGCGCCGCCGCGCTCTTACCGAGGGATCTGTACGGGAAAAAGGGTTAAGAACGGCGCCAACACCGCCCCCGGGCCCCGCTCCGCGCCGAGCCCAGCGCCACCGACCGCGCAGCGCCACAAAATGGCCGCCTCGCTGCGGCGCCGCCACCCGCCGCCAGGGAGGGGCGGGGCTGAGGGCCCGGCGGAAGAGAGGAGGGCGGGGCTACGCCGCCCGCGCAGCGCCCCCCTGCGGCCGTCCCGCCCTGCCCTGTTCGATGGCGCATGAGCAGCGCGCCGTGTGTGTTCCGGGGCTGCGCGGGTACCGCAGGCGGGTTTGGTGTGGAGTTAGAGGCTGGGGCCGGACGGAGCGCCGTCAGACCTGTGGAGACCTGTGGCGCCCAATGCCTCTGGTACCACAACATACATACATTGATGATATGTTGAATTTTGTGGACATTAACGGTGGTACAACTGAGCGGAAGGGTTATTGAGTAATCAGAGCCGTCAGATGGGCAATGAGCCCTGAGGCAACGAGCTGCTGCTGCTTTGCTTAGAAACGTTGCAGAATTAGAATCGCGCGCGTCACCCCAAGTCAGTGCCCTTTTTGTTCTAAATTCCCCTTGCTGTATTCACCCTTCACTTAAGCGTTCTCACCGTGCACACACAGCTCGTCCTGTCACCGCTGTGCCTCCACAGGACAGACTGCTCCAGCTCTCATTTATAGCAGAAAATGTAACCAGCATAGTCTGCTGCACGCAACAAACACAGTCATATAGCAAACTTTTTATTTGCAAAGCCAGGATTGTGACAACTCAGCAGCTGTTCAGCACCAAGCAGCAGTGTTGGCAGGCACTGGGATGCTCACCTCCCACCCCCACGGCATCTCCCTTCTTACTCCTCCCCATCACTCTCAACCCCTTCAAATAAACAGCCCACACCTGCTCATCTCCTTGGTAACCCCGGCTTTACTGCTTTTAGACTTTATATCTGCTAGGGTTGCCCTGAAAACATATCCCTTCTGTCAAGCGATCCCCTCCCTTTTGTTTCCTTAGGCAAGAGGGCCAGTGTGGGCCTACTGCACCCCACAGCTCCCTATTTGCTCTCCACAGTGTCCTGGTATCTTGTAATTCATTTGTTCTTATCCTAAGTGGCACCCAACAGAGCCAGCACGTGCATGCACATCAGGGACAGCCAATGGACGCTCCCAGGGATGTTTAGTACTGGCATCCAGTGGCAGGCTTACTGTGCCTGGCAGAAATTTGCTTGCCCAAGACCCACCCAGAGGCAGCAAGAGCACAGGACTCAGGGCCTCATGCTGCAGCAACGACCCTTCAGTGGGCAGGAGTAGGACAACAGAAGGGCAGTGCTGAATACTGGAAGAAAACTTGGAATGTTGGTCTTCTGTGCAACACTTTTGAGTCACATCATTGCTTTGTGTTGTTGAAACAAAGCCTGCATGAAAGATTTCACAGATTTGCAGAACAGTTAGGGCTAGAAGGGACCTCTGGGTCCACCCAGCGCAGTGTACCCAGCACCATGTCCAGGTGGCTTTTGAAGACCTCTGAGGAGGAAACTCCACAACCTTTCCAGGCAACCTGTGCCACTCATACAGCACAGAAGTGCTTCCTAACATTCAGAAGGAACCTCTCATGTGTCAGTTTGTGCCCATCACTTCTTGCTCATCTCTGGGCATCACTGAACAAAGCCTGGATCCATCCTCTCTGCATTCTCACTTCAGGTATTTGGACATATGGACATTGACAAGACCCTCTCTTCTCCAGGCTGAGCAATCCCAGCTCCCTCAGCCTCTCCTCACAGGAGTGAGGGGTGAGCCGCAGTCCCTTAATAAATGTGTGACAGTTGCTCCATGAACCAGCAAAAAACAAAACAAATTTAAAAAAAAACACCCTACAACCAACTGATATAATCCTCCCTAGATTTTTTCCAGACTGTATCCACACCAAATCCAAATGCGAGTCCCCACACCCCAGCCAGTGCTACAGGTCAACAGTGTCCCTGCGGATTGAAGCCAGCACCTCAAACATAGTCTGTGCTGAAGCAAAGTCTGGCACAGATGTCTGCGATTAGGATTACCTCCAAAGAGCAGTCTTCAGTCATAGCCAAATATTCGTAGGGACTGAATTAAATGTTCTCTCAAGAACACTTGAAGAAAATGTGTTTGTAGTGTGGATTAAAAGGAACACAATCCTGGGCTGCTATCAGGAGCGTGCCAATTGCCAAGGGTACCCAAGACAAGTTGGCAGCACGATGCAGTCAGACACCAACAGCATGGAAAGAAAGCAGTACAGTGTCTCTGGAAAGCAAAGCACTGGTAGGCAGGTTAGAGAAACAAGGACCACTGGTAACAGTGTCCAACATGCACCTCTCACATCACGTGTGTGAGAGATAAGCAGAGGAATGATAGCGTAAAGATGCGATTTGAGTCTACTGTGTACTAAGAAAATTCTGAAATCCGTGCCTTCTGCCTAAGCTAAAACTTAAGTAGGATGTTAGGTATAAAATTGGGGGGGGGGGGGGGCAAAGACCAACAGAAAAACAACACAGGACACTTTAAGGTAAAGCTTGATGGAACCATCATTTGCTGTGCCAATGCCACATTTGAAAGAAAAGTATTTTCTCTTTGCATTATGGTTTTGCTACACTGTCAATATGGAAAGCCTAACTCCCAGGCTCTTTGCTTCTCCAGCACAAACCTTAGATACCACTCAAAAACACAACCTCTCGTCTTATTCATCCCTCTTTACAAGGATGCATCTTTGATGAATCTGTCAGTCCAAATGACTTCCATTACTTTGTGTTTTCCTGACTGCCATGCGTCACCTGCAAGTTTCAATTGTTTCCAGATCATTTCTGTAAATGTTCAGCAGAAACAATCCTTACAGAAACTTCCCAAAAACTCTTTTCATTCCTCATTCATATTTATATTTGAAATCTGTCAGTCAGCTATTTGTTCAGAATTGCCTTACTGATTCTGTGCAGTAACTTCAAAGTCTCCTCACCTCCCTAGAATGAACTCCGTATGTCAGTGTTTTACTACACCTACTTAGGGCAAAACCTCTTTGCTCTCAAGTTAGAGCTTTACTTGAGAATCCCGTACCAGCTTTTTTTACTGCTCTTTTCTATAAAAGGACGAAGGGAAATGGCCTCAAGTGGTGCCAGGGGAGGTTTAGGTTGGATGTCTGGAAAAACTTTGTTACAGAAAGGGCTGTTAAGCAGTGGGATGGGTGCCCCAGGGAGGTGGCTGAGTCACCATCCCTAGATGTGTTTGGATGTGGTGCTCAGACCATGATTTAGCAGAGGGTCGTTAAAGTTAGGGTAGGATGGTTGGGTTGTGGTTGGACTCAATGATCCTTTCCAACCTGAGCAATTTCATGATTCTCTAAGCATGCAGACCAGCTGTCAGAGTGCTCAGTTCTCCCAAGCACTCAGCTTGTCCATTCTGAAAAGTGTCACTTCTCCCGCTGCGGGACCACGTTTATGTCCTGAGTTTTAATCAAAACTCTTTAGTAGTGATCTCTCAGACCAACTCTGTGGCACTTGGCTTTGGGAAACTGCATTTTTTCAAAGCACTGAGCGTACATACTATCAGCAAAACCGGTGTGACTGAACACAGTGAGTGTGACTGAAGTCACACCACAGAACAGTAGTTCAGTCAACTGGGCAGATACAAGAACCAAAAGGAGGCCGTTATTTTGCTGGGATCAATAGCTTTTATGTTAATTTTTCATTTTTAAAATTTAATGATTTTTGCCTGTCTGCATCATATTGTCAACAAACCAACAAACAGTTGTCAACAAACAGTTAAAAACTGCCTGTTTCTCTTTCCACGAGTTAACACAGCTAATTCCATGTTATCTTCCCTGGGAAATGCTAGCTTAGCAGTTAGGCGTTATGTTCTGTGAGCTTTTAGAAGTACTAAAACCCATCAGAGAGAATTTCTTTGCTTTTCTTGCACATTGCCTAACCCTTTCACACTACTGGATGTCTATTCTAGCCTGGTTCTATTCTTAATGATCACACTGTCTCAACTTCTATGGCATCTACAACAACGCTAAGCCCTCACCTTTCTTACCTCCCACTATTAAATTAAGGCCCTGCAGATGGCTTCAATTAACCACCAAGAAAGCCCACAAAAGCAATACCTCCATTCGTAAATACCCCTTACAGAGAAATTCACTGCCCTACAAAAAGCCTGAACTGTGTTCAGCAGTGTACAAGTAGATATTCAGCGTTACTACTTCTTTGTTCTCCCACGGGTGAGAATTATCTCCACTATTATTTCTCTTCTTATCTGCATTTTCAAACATTGCTTAATAGAGCGAATGAGTTGCCCAAACCTTTCCATGTAGCATTTATGTATGATAGTACATGAGAGGCACGAAGCACCTTCACAATTTGTGTTCCCTTTTCTCCAAGTAATCACAACCTAAGCTAGGTGAGTTTTAAAAATATCTATTAGGTCAGATGTGACACGAGGTTTGAGAGGAACAACTCAACAAAAGTCAAATGTCAGCTCGATGGGAGAAAGAGCATGTATCAGTGCGCACAGAAAAGCTTATTGCCTCTGTCATCTGATGAGAGACTGCAACTTAGCAACTTACTGATCATGCCCAACAGTTGAGCTGGAGAAGTGGATTCCCAAAAATAATGCTCTAATTCTTTTTTCTTGATTTACTTCAACTTCATAATTACTTACAAAGACTCAAAGCAGCCAAGTTGAAGTCTTCTCTCTATTTTTATAATCCACGAAGCACAAAGAACACGTTCATAAACATACAGTTCTACAACATGCTGGGGAATTCTTATCACGTGCTTAACCCACAAACCACACATGGCCCAAAGATAAAATATAATACAAACAATGCCTCTAAAACCTAGTTACGCATATGAGAGTTTTACAAACATGGTGATGAAACACAAGGTGCCGGTCAGTCGTACGATATTAAAAGTGCTAAAGCTAGTAATTTCAAATAGAGCAATTCAGGATTAGCTTTGCATTTCAACCAAATCTGTCCTTCTTAACAGAAAAAGGAACAATTCTGTAATTCAGTCCACTCAGTGAGACTTAGCTTCAGCTTTTCCACACAGTGCTTCATCCTCGAGGTAG